ATGGGTGTGGGACTTGACTTTTTTAGAGATCTGTGCCAAATTTAATGGTGATCATTTGGGGTCCTACTCATATGGGTGGGAGGGTCTCATAAGATCATTACTCATTAATTATATAACTTATAGTATATAACTATCATGTATTACCTATATTATACATAATAAATATATATTAAACGTAATACAATTACATTAATAAAATAAATATAAATATAATACAAATTATATAAATATATAATAGGATATTATATATTTATATAATATGTATAATATATTTATGTATTATAATATAATATTATATATTTCCTCTAATGTCATATGCTATAGTATAATATAAAATAATATATTAGTTATATATTTTATATTAATTATTATTGCAATATAATTTATATAATAAGTATATAATTTATATGTAAATAAAATATTATAATAATATATGAAAAATTGTTTCATACAGGCTGGACCTCATTTCTACATGTGTTGTCCAGTAGTGTAAAGCATCCATATATTAAAAATGAATGCAAGTAGGTGATCCATCTAAAAACAATGGAAAACTGATAGCCCAAATGCTTTTTTAATAAAAATATTATTTCTATTTTTATAAATTTATTTATTTTCATATTCATGATCTCTATGTTTGAGATTATATGTCCTTAAAAAATTAAGTCCAAAAATCCATCTCAAAAATAGATATTTAAGAGGCACCGCATTTTTGTATGTGCGGGCTTGGCCCGCAACGCGAACCATGTCCATAATATATTATATTGTAAATAGTGAATAATGAATGGTGAATAGTAGGTCCGCATGTGAGGGTCCGCATGTGAAAACAAATGTGCACATAGAATGTTTCCCCACCTCAATAAGTGTGGTTTTTTTTTTTTCAATGAATTAGACCATTTCATGGTAAAAGCTTTTACCATGGTATTTTATTTGGATATGCATTTGCATGAACCAAACATGTGAAACACAATTTACGTATGTAAATATTTATTGAGGAATATTTTACGTATGAACCAAACATACCCTAATAGAATCTTTGAAATGTAAGATATCTATACATAAGGATACAATGAAAAGGAATAAGAATGAAATAAAGATTTCATCTTAGTTATGAAATAATATTGAAGTGTGGAATTAATGAGAGAAGTTAATCGGTAAAAATTACATGTAATGTAATAATATAAAAACTACAACTGAATATCTATGTATTTGCATCTTTCAAGCAATCCATATAGTAGACGGGTACATTCCGTGTTTCTTATCGAGTGCTATCCAAACATCAGACACCCCTATCCAATTGACAGACCAATTCCAGGATAACCCAATTCTAGAAGAAGCCTATTCATATGACAAACTTCTCCCGGTACCCAAACGGGCCCTAAGTGATTCCAAACCTTGGGAGGCTGATCATGCAAATTCCCATGGTTAATTGAAAACTGCTAATTCAAATGAGTTGATCAATTAGGTGGGGACAAGGAGGAATCTCAAATACCAGAATCCCACCCAATATTGTAGACGTAGAAATAGATAAATACAATCACAAATCAAGCACAATAAACAATGTAAAAATCAAAAGTACACCACAACAACACAAGATTTACGTGGTTCACCCCCATAAAACTACATCATGGCCTCGGCAAATAAAATTTTACTATCTCAATGAAAATTGCAATTTTGGGCTACAATGTTATATAACTCTCTAAACATCGACAAAAGATCATCACTGATCTTTTCTTCTAAACCCACTCTCCCGACCGAGCATCAATTAACCTCATCTTTACCACCACTATACCTCTACTGGAAAAAGCACCTTGAGATCAACCGAGAGACTTTCTCTATCTAGAAGTGGAAACCTACCACCCAAAAACCGATAGAAATAGCATATCTCTCTTGGATGTTATATGTCGCTCTTTTTTGAAGACCCATATCCATCTCAAAGATCTCTTCCCATAAATTTCAAAGGGGTGACCCTCAAAAGAATGAGCGTTATAATTTTTTTGACCCATTTCTTTTAGAGATCATTGCAATATTTGTCTTTTTCACCATAATACCTGTAATCTTTTAAAAAAAAATATAAGTATGGTAATTTGGCTCTCATCAAACCTAACTGGCTTTAGAGCTTTGAAAGGAAATGTCCTGCTCCTTTAAGCCGAGAGGTAAGCCATGTGACGAGAACAGAGGCCTTGAAGACTGTTGACCACAAATAATGGAGGGTGGGACTTTCCACTATTCATTTTCTACTAGGGTTAGGTGCACCCTAATATTCTACAGTCACAACTTTCCATCTTAGCCTGCAGGTATGGAAGAAGCGACCCCACTGTCTCTTGACTCTCATGTGGAAGGTCATTTACCAAAATAAAATCTTGGAAAATTATAATTGTCTCAGCCCTTAGGGCTCGTTTGGTTCATGTGTAAATGCAAAACAATTTTCAGATTTACACAATTCCATGTGCAAGAGTTCTTCAATTCTGTATCTCTCCATATTTGGTTCACATATCTAGAATTCATATGTACCCAGTTTTTTTATGTTGGGTAACCCATTGGTAAACTATCTCTCACTCTCTCTTTCTATCTCTAAAAACCTATTTTCTCTCCCTATAAACCTAATATTTCTTTCTTTCTATAGAAACCCAATCTCTATCTAAAAACTCAATCGCTATTTCTCTCTCTAAAAGTCCAAGCTATATAGAAATCCAATCTCTCTTTCTCTCTCTAATAACCCAAACTATATTTATACTAAAACTCATTCTCTCTTTCTCTCTCTAAAAACTCATT